GGTCACCTCCTAATAAATGTCATTACAGAAAATATAACGGTTCATTTTAAATCAATACCTTTACTTTTAATATTTAAGTACAAAACGTATCAGATACTTTAAGACTTTTACTCAACTAATATTCCTAAAGGAGACTTTAACTTTGACCAAAGTAATTTTTTGGTAAGATACTTGTACTTTCACTCAAGTATCACTTTGTGGTACTTTTTCAAATTCAATTCAATTCAATTCAAAAATACTTTATTGATCCCAATGGGAAATTTYGTAAATTAGGTAAGGTTTACAACACTGTTTGTACAGCAGATCTAACAATAACTTCTTGTGAAATTTTGTGTGTTTTTGCCACAGGGCTCCTGCCTCCACCATCAAACATCAATGCTTCAATTAAAGATGGAAACCTTTTTGTAGCATGGAATCTACCAAAGACAAAAACTACTCAAAACCCCGCCTGCTTTGATTACCAGCTGGATGTAGGTGGGATGGTATGTTATGTCTCTGTTTGCAATGGATGCACACCAGACTGCAAATCAGACGAGCTAATTTTTAGACAATGAAGTCCAAAAGTTACCGTTTCCACAGGTTAAACCCAGTAATTTCTTCTGGTAAATCTTTTCAAATAGGAAACACTGACAGACTTGAGTGCCGTTTTGCATTTTACGAAGCCAAAAACAGTTCCCACCCACACCTACAGGGTTAGAATGAGGACAAAAGTGAGACGTGTGTGCAGTGGATGTGGACATTGGAGTGAGTGGAGTCCCACAGTCAGTGAGTCATTCATTTCTGACCGTTTTGCACCTAGAAGCTTAAATACCACAGCCTCCTTGAATAAGTATGTTTCTCTGGGTGTTTGCAGTTGTGGAGCAGTCACCATACACGGTTGACCCCTTGGTGATCCTCGCAGTGTCACTTGGAATACCCATGATGCTCCTTGCTGTGCTGCTGCTGGTGCGCCATCAGAGGTAGCACATTTCTGCTTGAGTGACACATTGGCTGATGTGTGACACGCACTCAGTTTCCTCTAAGWAACTTATGCTGTTATTACTTTAATAAAACTTTCTCAGTGACGTATTTCCCAGCAGATACTTAAGCTCGCACATTTTTTTTTATTGTGAAACTGATGAGGGGCATAAAAAAGGTCCAGTATGTCATTCATGCCAGCAAGTGCAGTGAAGATTTATTTATTTCAAGATTTATTATTATCATTATTATTAGAATACTTTATTTTGTTTTTTTTTTCAATAACAACTTCACATCTATTAACTGACAAAACAAACTCTTCTCAGGAACAAAAACGATATCTCTTGAACAGGAAAACATTCTTAAATTAAGTGTCCTGATGCATCTCAGTAATCCAGGTAGAAAGAATCAAAAAGAAAAAAAAAAAAGTAGGTCTTCTGGATGGGTTCTTAATTAGTGAAACGTTTCGTCTCTCCTCCAAGAGACTTCTTCAGACTGATGGGTCTGGMTTTTGGGTTCCCAGACCCAAACCAGTCGTCATTCCATATGTGGTGGGAGTTTCAGAGAAACTGAGACATTTATTCTCTAAACATGACGTCCCAGTGGCTTTCAAACGCCAAAACACGTTACGACAAAGATTAGTTCACCTCAAAGATCCAGTTCCCCGGCAAAAACAGAGCAATATAGTATATGCTGTTAAGTGTCAGGAGGACTGTGATCAGTTATACATCAGGGGAACAAAACAGCCACCATTCAAAAGAATGAGCCAGCACAGACGAGCTACTTCGTCGGGTCAGGACTCTGCCGTTTACACTCATCTACTGTACAGGCCAGCGGTCACTCTTTTAGGGATYAAGAMGTTCTCATCCTTGATAGAGAGGAACGTTGGTTTGAGAGAGGAGTAAAGGAAGCCATCTTTGTGAAGAAAAACCATCCACCATTAAACAGAGGTGGAGGCCCTCGTGTCCAGCTGTCCTCCTCCTACAGCGCTGTTATTGCAAGTATGACTCCGCCCCCTGTGAGCAAAAAGGTGTGAATCAGGGCCCCAACGGTAACCAACAC